CACTGAGAAGAGTTCATCATGTGGATATACAGAGTAGGGCTTTTTCTGTGCAGCACCCCAAATGAGAAATGCCCTCTCCTTGGGGGCTCAATTTGCACCAACATGGGCATCATTTCGACTCCAAGTCAAAACATGCCTTTTTATCAGAGCCTTTGGGAGCTGAGGAACAGAATCTGCACAGGTTTCAGTGCAATCAGTGTTTTTGATGTTTGAGTGTTTTCATTTTGTGTCCTTTTATTTTAATTTTTTTAAAAATAATTTAAGTTTTAAATTATTTTTACAGCTTTGTAGCCCAGCCTGAGAACCTATGATATGGGGTGGGCTATAAATGTTTAAATTACATTTTTTTTAAAATTTAAAAGAAATGCTCAACAGGCATTTGGGGTCTGTTTCCCAGGTGGAACTATATAGGTCTCCCAAGTCCATACAGTTTTTAAAAATATTTTAATTAACTGATTTTAAACATAGCCATAATGTATCGATAACACTAATAAAACTCATTCATACAGTGGTACATTTGTACCTGTATACGCTGTTTTTGTATATTTTGCAGGTTGGCTGTTACAACAAAAATTCTGCCACTTTTTAGATTATACATTTGTTGTTTTCTGGAGATTGTCTGAGAGCATGTCTTTCCATAATTGTTATATACCTTTCTTTAGGTATTGCACAAATTGGTAGCAAACAGCTAAGAAAGAGTATGTTTCAGTTCCCACTCATTTCTTCCCATTCCAATGACAGGTATTCAGTGGCTTCCCAATTTTGGGCTATAATTTGTCTGCCAACCCCATAAGGAAAATGAGCATGTCTTTACTTGGTAGATGTTCATTTGCTCTGGTTCACAAATCTAACTACCCCTCTCTCTCAGTTTTCTGGCCGCAGACCTCCTGCCAATGCCAGTGCAATCATTGAAAAGTAGAAGGAAAAGAAGCCCACAGATGCTTAGAGGAAGCTTATAGTCTTTGTTTATTTGAGGAAACAGTCAAAGAACTTGGTAGCTAACACAGGCAATCAGACCTCTTCCTAGTGTTGACATAGCTCTGTTCTTAGTGAGTCTTGTCCTTGATAAGGCAGCCCAGTAATTCTAGCTGCGCTGTTTTCCTGTGAGTATGTGTCTTTCCTATTGATTGCTTGTTCACTCTCCCCCACTGCAGCAGTGTGTGCTAATCCACAGTTATGAAATTTTGTGCTGTATTCAGGAGTGATGCTGTACCATGAAGGTCGCTGGTAAATAAGGTAGTAGTGAGAACTCTTGGTGAAGGTTTTAAGATTTAGTTTAAAAGGCAGCTGAACAAAGTGAGGGAGGATGGAAGTAAGAAAGCCAAAACTGAACCAATTTTAAGCAGTAGCATGATTGAGGGAGTGAATTGAAGTCATACGCAGCCTGAAATCGAAAAAGGAAGCCTTTAATCAGCGGCCGTCTGCTGTTGACAATGATTTTGTTCCTGTTGCACAGGCAGAACCCATCCAACAGGCTTTCTCCCGCTGACTTTTACTTGTCCAGCAGATGTGTAAAAAGTAAAGTGTGTAACAGAGCTAGGAGTGGTGAATCTGATAGCTCATAATTTAAATGAATAAGGTCCCAGTTTCAGCCTTTGCCATCTCCCATAAGAATAATCTCCAGTAGCTAATTATATGAAAGACATGTGTTTAATACCCAGGAAAGCAGTTGCCAAAAAAGAAAGGGGCATTTGTGTGTCACGTTGTACCATGGTTTACTATGATGTGGATCAGCTGCAACAAGCCTCCAGCTCGTACATTCTGCTGCCCCCTCTCCTCTCATGCAGCCATGCGGAGGAAAGCAGACGTTTTTGCTTCCAGTTTCCCTTACCCTTAGTTTTTCATGACCTCAACTGGTTAACTGTAAGTTAATCAACATTTGAAGCAAACTAAACTGAAACCATGATTAACTTACTAACCACAATTAATATTCAACACAATTTCTTAGCTTAGGCAATACTGTTTTAGGGTGTGGCATGTTACTGAAACAGCATTGTTTACCCTGCAAGATGATCTCCTAAAGGGAGGCAGACAGAGGGAGTATAATTCTGTTGTCCTCCTGGATCTTTCTGCCTTTGATACTGTCGGCCATGGTATCCACCTGGGAAGGCTGTCATATTTAGGGTGTGGGGAGGTGGTCCATTTTCACTGGTTCCAGACCTTCCTTGATGGCTGATCCCAGATGGTACAGCTTGGGGATGCTGTGTCCCCCCCCCCCCCTTGGGACCTCTGCTATGAGGTCCCTTACAGGTCAATCATCTCCCCAATGCCTTTTAACATCTACATGAAGTCACTGGGAAAAGCCATACATAGATTTGGGGTGTGCTGTCATTAGTACAGTGATGATACACTGCTGTCCTTTGCTTCATCTGCAGGTGATCTTGTATGGGTCCTTGAGCCCTGTCTAGCATTGATAAAGGACTGGACAGGGGTCAATAAACTGAAACTGAATCTAGAGAAGTTTGGAATCCTATTGATAGGAGGATTGCCAGACCAATTAGAACTTACCTGGCCTTGATGGGTTTACACTCTCCCTGAAGAATCGAGTCTGCAGCTTGGAGGTACTCCTGGACCCAAGCAGTCTTGATGGAGGCTCAAATATTGTCTGCAGTCAAGAGTGCCGTTTATCAACTTCGGTTGATTGCCCATTTGCCCCTACCTGAATAAGAAATGCCTAGTAACAGTGGCTCATGCATTGGTAATCTCAAAAATAGTTTACTGTAATTCTCTCTACATTCGGCTGCCCTTGAAGCTGTTTAATTTTGCCCGGATCTTTATAGGTAAAATCTGTCTGACTTAACTTGAAAGAAAAGCTCCAAAGTATGTTTACTCAAAGTATGTTGCTTTCTGAAACAGATGTGTGACCAAATGCACAACCCAAAAGTAACAAACAGTACCAAAAATGTAAATCCAACTTGACAACTGCTGCCACATATTGGGTGATAAAGCGTCATGCCACAGATCTCCAAGGAATAAATCAAAGCAGATGAGGCCACTTAAGAAAGCCTTTCTAATGGAATCAGCAGAAATTTACGTTATTTTCCTAGAGAATGCAAATGATGGCAACAAACAGCAGGGGTGAGGGTTCTGTATTCAGTTTACCTCTAATGGGAGAATAGTGATGAGCTTATTTAAACTAAAGAATAACATAAAGTGTTGAAGCTTTGAACTAACAGCAGAATGCTTTTTAAAAAAAAAAGATTTTCTTCTGGTCGGCAGCAATGCTCAGAAATCCAAATCGAGAAATAACACCACCAGTGATAGTGTGTTAGATTAAAACCATCCATTCTAACTCCTGGCAGTAACAGACCATTGTCCAAGGGACAAAAGGGCTACACTGATGAATGATGATGGGTAATGTAACGCCAAACTCTGTTTACAAGAGCTGAGAGTGTTGTCTGTGAATTCAGATGGGATACCATGTAATTTCTCAACGAAGCAATGTGGAATGTGTGAGAGAGCTTTACTGATGTTTTTAACCAACCCTCTCTCCCCAAAGACTTCAAGAAGCACTGGCAACAATTACATTCAATAAACTCATCCACACACATACACCACAAAGCCAATACCAGCAGCAGTAGCACCAACATCTTATATGGAATTCGAATATTTGACACTCATGCCCTTAATTTGCATCATTCTATAATAAAAATGTCGTCAGCAAAACCCAGAGCTCTGTTTAACAGGGAAGGTGTCATGGTGCCATAAAGGGAACAGTGTCGATTGCAGTGGTAGCTCTTGGTAGCTGCTAGGTCTTTTTGCTAAATGTTTTGAGCAAGACTCTCCCAAAATTTTGTAAAAGCCAATTCCCAACAGATGCCAAATTCTGTGAATTCCGCTAAATGGTTCAGAATAGAGATGGGCACGAACCTCTGTTTGGAAGTTCATGTGCACGACACCACGGGTGTCATCCCTTCTCTTGCCCCTGCCCCCCAGATTGGCTCTCTAGCTGATGTGTGCCTCTCTCTCCTCCTGAACTTTGACTGTTCGACCAGTCCCCAGCAGGAGCAGGAGCTTCCCTGGCCCACCTCTGTGGCTGATTGCCCACTCAGACAAGGAGGCAGGACAGGCAAACTCGTGTTCTTGCTGGGGACTGCTCAAACAGCCACAGAGGAGGGAGGGAGGAGTGTGCTCTGACTGGTGAGTGGGTCATTGCCTGGTGAGGCCGGGTAAGGGAATGTGCGGCACCTCCAGTGCCACACATACAACCAGCACAAACCTCCCAACCAAAGTCCATGCCCATCTCTAATTCAGAACTTTTAATTCAGATAGTTAGGCTGTTGTCCTGTACACACTAGTCTCGAAACAGGTCCTATCAAGACTTATTGCCACAGTGGGACTCTCTCTCTCTTTCTCTTTCAAACTGAACTTCTACTGGAAACTGTCTTTCCCATTGATCAGCTTAATTGATCCGTTACTCAGAAAACCCATTTATTTAACAGTAGTGGGATTTTTAAAATGCTGTGTTGATGATTTATAGTAGCAGACATGCACTGTCCATACAAGAGATGCCTAGAGTTGGCACACATTTTTTACAGCTTGCTTCACTTCCCTATATAAGATTTTTGAGAACTGGCATGGCCAAGCCAAGTTTTTATCCCAGAAGTGTGGGAGGAAATGTAGTGGAAATGCACAGAGGACATTCAAGGTCATTGTGAAATAATAATTCTGTGCAGATACCTCATTTACCCTGCTTTGGTCATTATCCCCGTGGGATGAGTGTGTTACCTAAAAGAGCAGAGACCTGCAGTTCTTTATCTTTAGGGTCTCATTCAGATCTGTTGAACTGAATGGGTGTCATTCAGTTACTATTCTCCCAATTGCACATTTTCAGCTCCATTTTTCTATTTTCAGATCAGGGCACTTTGATGATTTAGTGAAGAATTCTCTCTGTGGATTTCTTGCTATTTCAGGTTACCTTTTCTGTTCTGGTCCCTTTCAATGTGGAGAATTATCTTGTCAATAATAGAGGCCGTTGACGTATCACTTCTCTCTTTTAGGGTCATTAGCCGAGCGCAGGGGCTGAAGCTGGTGGTGGAAACCTTGATGTCATCTCTGAAACCCATTGGAAACATTGTGGTCATTTGCTGTGCTTTCTTCATCATTTTTGGCATCTTGGGAGTCCAGGTAGGCTCACTGTAGCATTCCCTGCAGGCAGAAAGGACCTGTGCATAGTTGCACTCATATTCACTGCACAGAACCAGGGAAGTTCTGTATTCATTGACATTCACACTGACATAAGCCTTTAGCAAGATATGTGACCCCCACAGATGCCTGTAGACTATAGAAAAAGTGCAAGAAGCTTGTGGATTTCAGTCCTCTTTTGTGCTACCTTGTTTCATATATGCACACAAAATACTTGTTTGACTGTAATGCATTCCTTTAGCTAGTGAGAGTTTCCAGTATCATAGAGACACATACTGCTAAGAAATGAAACCAATTGCCAGCTTCCAGTTGAATACCTCTTTGTGACACCCAATGCCCATTTGCTTCTCCATACCATGTGACACAGCTTTCAGGTGAAACAGACTTCCTGACATTCAGCTATCAAATCTCTTATTTTGAAAACCCATCTTCATCTTCAGCGAACCTACCTTTGTCTCTGCATCTTCCATTTCTCAGTTACAAACACATATTAGGATTCAGTTCCAAATCTGATTGCTATTGTTGCAATACTATTGTATTTGCTACAGCTGCTGTAGACTAGAAAATGACAGATTATGGACCAGGGCATTGACTTGAAATTAAAAATAATAATGGTAGAAAGAAGAGCGAGGTTGATTCCTTAGTGCCTGGCCCTAGCCGAAAGTGTTGCATTGTGAGAAATCACCACGTGTATCCAATATTGTGTTTTCAACAATGTCCCCTGCCTCCCTGTATAATGCTGCTAGGCAAAAAGATTAAATGTCACCTTGTAAGAAAGATAAGGGTCTGCATTGATCTCTGTTGTTTAGCTTGCTCAAACAGAGCCCTAAAGGTCTGGCATCTCTTTTTGAGTTCAGATAAAGAGATGATATTTAAAGAGTCCAAGGGGAAAGGAGCCTCACCACAGAGAGGCCAGGCATGCTAATGACAATATCTTTTGTCACTCAGTGAACTGGTGGAGGCATCTCGACTAGCCTGATAGAGGCCACTACACTGACATTCATCGTAACAGCTGCCACATGCTGCCACTTCCTGTCTGTCACTGAGAAACCGAAAAAATTAATCATCTGGTGTTATTGATAACTTTCCCCCTGTGGATCAGTGTATCTGGCACTGTTGGAGTCAGTACCTTAGGATTGCCACATTCAGTGCAGCATGATGTTTGTGTGCTTCATCAGCTCCCTGCCCAAGAGAATTTTGATTGGTGGGAGAAGCTGCACTTTTTAGGATTTCTCTGGTCCTCTGAGAACTGGGAAGCCTTGTCTCTTTTTAAGTCTAAGAACCCCAGCCAGAATGAGTGTAGGATAGGTGGCTAGTTGTTTATTATTGATTTATTTTAAACATTGATGCTTTGCCTTTCTCCTTGCGAGGACCCAAGGCAGCTTACAATATTAAAACAAGCAGTATTAAAAACTAAACAGGATGAAAAAATACATTATTACAGCATTTTTTTAAAAAAAGAATTAAACAGATATAATATTAAAACGGGTAGGTTTTCATACATTTATACAAAAGACCTTCTCTGTGGTCACCCTCTAAACCTCTGAAGCTAGAGCCATGAGTGGGGGATGCTGAGTGAGATGCCCATCTCTATGACTGGGCATCTCTGGAGGCCACTTGTACCAATTTCTTGCCATCTCTTGGTTTTCACAGCTATTCAAAGGGAAGTTTTTTGTCTGTCAAGGAGAAGACACAAGGAACATCACCAATAAATCAGACTGCGCAGAAGCCAGCTACAAATGGGTCCGGCACAAGTATAATTTTGATAATCTCGGCCAGGTATGGATGGCATGGTAATCTGCATGTTTGCTCCTTTAATCCCTCAATTTAAAACCCTATGTGAAATCTCCTTGCAGATATTGCATCTGGCAAATAACAGGCTTCTTTCCAAAAACCCCATATGCATCCATTATGGTACTGATAAGTCAGAATTGGCACCCAACCCATTTGTTTAGCCTGACAGCTACACCGCAAACCACAGCGGAAGTCCTCATCTTAGGGCATCCTGTATCTAGTACATCCTAATATCTCCATTCATTTCCAACAGCCACTGGAAGCCATCTATAACAGCATGGTAGGGACTAAATTAAAAACGAGTGGTTGCAGCCTGGATGGTGAAGAAATGCAGCCAGCTCTCTATTTTGTGAATTAAGCCTTGACATTGGACCTACAGTCTGACAGGGGTAGGTTCTTCCTTTGATGTTAAAGCACCTTAGCATTACCCATGAATTAAAATGATGAGCAAAAGTACAAATCCAGCCATGAACAGAGAAGAAAACAGAGGAGTAATAAAAGGAGGTGCTTTCCTACAAACGTAAGGTAATGCTAATTTTTCTTTTGCCTTTCCAGGCCTTAATGTCTCTGTTTGTTTTGGCCTCCAAAGATGGGTGGGTTGACATCATGTATGATGGACTGGATGCTGTAGGAGTGGATCAGCAGGTATGCATTTGCCATTAAATCCCTAGAAGTCCAAGAAACAGGTGTGCCTCATTTTCATTTTATTAAAAACTGTTCCAGAAGCATATCTTCAGTATAACATACTGTCCCATGCAAAGAAAGTTCCACTCCTCTTTTTATGCAATTCTCGATCCTTGTCTCCCATATCCTGCTGGATTCCAGTCTTAAAGGATTCTTCCTCTCCCTTGTAGCCATCCATGAACTATAACCCTTGGATGCTCCTCTACTTCATCTCCTTCCTGCTGATCGTTGCCTTCTTTGTCCTCAACATGTTCGTGGGAGTTGTGGTTGAGAATTTTCATAAGTGCCGCCAACATCAGGAGGAAGAGGAAGCCAAGAGGCGAGAGGAGAAGAGACTCAAACGGCTGGAGAAAAAGAGAAGGAGTAAGGAGAAACAGATGGCTGGTCGGTAGTCTTTCCACATCTTTCTGAGTCCTGCTTGACCTTTGACAGCTTCCCCACACCTCTCTGCCTAGCATCCGAAGCTCAGATTCTTCTCAAAAAGCATGCCCAGCTATAAAATTTGCATGAAGGATGTAGCGTCGGCATAGGCTAAGCAAAAGGCCATGGAGAGATAGCAATGGCTGCATGATTTGCAACTACTTTATATGCTAGGTGATTTAAAATACAATATATATATATATATATTTATATGTTTGTATATATTTTCCATTGCACAAGCTTAGCCTTACCCAAATAGTGTCAAATGCAAAAGGCCAGCAGTTCCAGAACAGGCTGAGAATCTTAGGCATGCTTCTTTTTGTTGCTGACAATTAGCTTCACTATTTGGTTTATTACAACCTTGTAATGTCACTGCAAAATCAATTGACAATTTCTGAGCATGTTTATGTATGGCTTGAGGAAACGCCACAGTGAATTCAAGGATGTAATAATAACAAAGCAGCCTTGTTTTAGAAATGCTTGAAAATGTAGTGTATTTGCTTGAGAAATACAGATTCTTTTTCTCTTAAACTATGAAAATAGCCAGAGACAGAAATTAACTAAATGAAATTCATCAACTTGGGGTAAGTCCACTGACACACACAGTTGGTGGACTACTTAGAACATTTATATCTTTTTTGTAACCACATAGACTTCTCTGAAATTTGAAAAAAAATTCACATATTGTCTTCTTTGCCTCAGTTTCTGTTTGATTCAAAAAAAGCAGGAAATAATGCTAAGGTCAGAGGTCACAGGTCAGAGGAACTCTCCTCCATCTTGCATGCCTTCTCTTCTGCTTGTTTTCCCCATTCACATGCCCATGTTTTCCTTCATGGTATCACACTTTCATCTTCACCTTTCAGTGTCCTCTTGGCTTTCCCTCATGATCTCTTTCACATTTGTTTCACCCTTTTTGGACTGACACTGATAAATCTGTTGCAATCTCTCTGTGCTGCTGTTTTACAGTCCTAATAGTTGACACAATATATGGTGTGTTTCCCAATATGTTCATGTCATAAGTGTGATTAACAGTATGATTTTTAATCCATCCTTATCAGGTACTAAAGCACCTTCTAAAACTTAAAAAGTTATATTTTAATCCCATTTATTTACCTCAGTGTAAGAATTGCAGTTCAAAAGTTCAAAATTGAGCCATCATAGCACAGGGACTTTTAAATGAATCCCATAAAACAAAAAGTATTTTGAAATAAGATATATTCTTTCTAAACTATGAGGTTGTTACACTCCAGGGACACCATTTCAAATATTTTAGAACTGATGTGCTTTGGTTAAGACATGAGTAAGTAGTTCTTTATATGGACAAATAATTAACTGGAACCTATTCTTGTGTTTTAGAGTGTATCCATTTAGCCTCTTTTTTGTGCCAAACCTGCATGAGGTTTTGAATATATTGCGTGCTTCCCACCATGATACAAGTATAAGTATGAAGAGGCTGGTTGCAGATATTCTGGATGATGTATCTACGGATCCTGTATGGGTGAAAAGCATCCATGCAACTGGGGTTTTATGGCATAATATCTGCAAATGCATAATGGAAGTAACTGTAGTTTTCATGTGAGTGTGGCAACACGCATAACATACATACAAAAAAATCCATGGATCTTAGTGCCTAAGAGAAGGATGGGAATTCATCCTTGTTTCTGAATGAAGAAGGTACATAATCTTCACAGTTCTGCTGTCAAATGCATATTCATGTTATAAGAGAAGAAACCTTGTAACTGTAACAGGGAGAACTGTCCCTCAGGGAGGATTTAAAAATAGGCTTATGCATTATTTTGCAAAAGAATTCCTTCCTAGAGGAATGTAAGCTGTGGCATTCCCTTGGAGGCTTACACAGTACGGTGGGTAAACAGGCTAGGCTTCTATAGTGAGCTAGATATCTGACTGTGGAGGTAGAGGTTGGGAGTTGGATTCCCCAACTGTGTGTCCCAAGAGAACAGCCAGCCTGCACAGCCTTGAGCAAGCTGTACAGCCCCAGGGCACCCCCAGAGGAAGAGAGTGGTAAACTAGTCCTGAATATACCAGTGGTCAGCAACCTTGGGCCTCCCTATGTTCTTGGACTTCAACTCCCAAAAATCCTGGCCAGCAGAGGTGGTGGTGAAGGCCTCTGGGAGTTGTAATCCAAGAACATCTGGAGGCCCAAGGTTGGGGACCACTGCGTCTATACCTATTAAATCTTGAAAAGGTTTGTAATTATTTGTAGCAAAGACCACTCCCCTCCTTCCTTGATATTCCTCTACTATCCTGCCTCTCAGTGATCCTGTACCAGGTACCATGCTCATGCATCAGTCATTAAAGTGTTCAGTTTTTTGCTGCGGACTTAATTGCTCAGCATTTCTTTGAGTATTTACATCTCTATCTTTCCTTTTCTATTCTTGGTCCTCAGTAGCAAAACCATATATATTGAGAAAAATTTCCATTCATCTGATGCTAACCAAATATGCTAAACTGTACTACAGACAATCCAACACTAACAGAGAGAGTCTTTTGACTACAGAAAGTGTCTAACACAACATAAGCTTTTCTCATTTCCTATGTCTTACAAATTGGCTTGCTTCATTGTGTGATTCGTCTTCAGGAGATACATTCAGTTTTGTTTGAAATTTTGATTTCTCAGGCACAAAGATCTGCCTGAATCTTCTGTCGCAGAATCACTAATGTAATTTCAGCTCTAATGACAGATTACCTGCATGTCATCATTTGGCTCTTGGACTACTAACCAAATTGGTCCATGGAGAGTTCAATCTTTGATGTACAGGAAGAATAGGAAACACATGAGGTGACATGTCATTTATGGATCTGTGGAATGAAATAATTAATTCACTCTTGGGAAGGCAGTTTCTGTTGTTGGTGGTTACAATTCTTGTAGTGTGATGATCATTTGTAGCCTTGGATACTGTCAAAAGAAGTTAAAATGTTGCTCTAGATGCTGTAGGAGGTACAGTATAATTAACATAGTGTGAAAGGCAAAACTGTAGTTAAGGTAGTAGGTGACACTTGTCAAGTGATTCAGGCTGTTTGTGGAATGCCTTTGTCTGCTTTCCTGAGTTGGTACATAAATATAAGTAGGAATTTAGTCTATGCTACAATAACCCCAAGAGGCAAGAGGAGAAGGGGTCGACAGGGGATGAGATGGTTGGACAGTGTCATCGGAGCAACCAATATGAATTTGATCCAACTCTGGGAGGCAGTGGAAGATAGGAGGGCCTGGCGTGCTCTGATCCATGGGGTCACAAAGAGTCGGACACGACTGAACGACTAAACGAACAAACAATAACCCCATAAGCATTATTCATAAACCTCAGAGTTATGATCCCCACTAATGAGACTCATTACAGGGGGCTACAACAGATGTGATGCTGGTTTAATTGCTTCTTCCCCAAGTGAAACATATTGAAAGCTTCCACTTAATATGAGTCCCACTGACAATTAATAATTCCTTGGGAATTAATTTCACATTGGTTAGGATGGTTGCATTTTAAAGAAACTAGTTTTGAATGCCAGCATTGATGGGTGGATGCAGTCCAGCCCCTCTATACGGTTTTAGGTTGGGGATGGTTTCACTAGATTTAAAACACCAGAAACAAGCAAGGAGTGGAGGCTGGGGGATAACTTAGCATAAGTGATTCTTGGAGGTTGGGGGCTGGGGGAGAGAGACACAGACCACTTTGTGCATAAAAAGATATTTGTAGGCAGTGTCCAGACAGATGTGAGAGAGGAAGAGAATAGCAAGATAGTTGAAGAGAATAGCAAGATAGTTTACAGAGAAATGAAAAGTAGTGCAAAGGAAACTTCCAGATGGATCAGACAGGAAAACTGGCCCACCTAGGCTCAGAACCTGGCCTGCAGAAGCCCATGGGTTGCCCTGCCCTGTGGTCAGGTGTTAGATACAGTTAAAGTTCTCCCATTTCTCAAAAGTACCGTTACTCTACTTTTTATACTTTTGGTTTGTGGCACCTACCTCCTTGTCACTTTTTCAGTTCACACAACAGTGCACAAGACATAGCATGAGCCACCTCTTGAACCATATAATTCCTCTTCCATACCCCCATAAAAGTAACTTCAAAAATTCCTAAGTCCCCTTTTCCTTTTTGTCACCCCTTATGTTAAAAAATAAAAATTAAAGAAAAATTATATTTATACCCCAGAAAAGAAGTGGATTTATCCTGGTCTGTATTGAACTCATAATATAACTTAGTTGTGTCTTAGTCATTGAGGAAATGTAGTAATGAATTACTTGTAACTAGTTATTATGAAGGGTTTCTGTTATTGTGCGAAATAGATTTCAACAAAGGTGGAGACACAGAGAAGCAGTGGGCGGGGGAAATGATAAGCAGCTCTTTCCACGGCTGTATTTCTACCCCAGATTACCCATGAATGGAAGCAGTCATTAAAGTTTCATGTGTAAAGTGGCATTTTAGATAGATAGATAGATAGATAGATAGATAGATAGATAGATAGATAGATAGATAGATAGATAGATAGATAGATAGATAGATAGATAGATAGATAGATAGATAGATAGATAGATAGATAGATAGATCCAATCTTTTAAAACATATACAGTAGTTTTAAATAACCCATTCAGTCTTCAGTTTGCTGAAGCGGTGAGACATCTCTAAGGTAAGTGGCATGAAATCTGGGCTATGTAGAGTTTCCCTTGGCATCTGCCTATATCGCACAGGGCATGCACCTGACCCCCTTGGTTGTGCTATAGCCTGCAGCCCTGGTCCTTGTATATATTATGTGACTGGGCGGTTACTTAAGTCCAGGCCTGTCCTGGCATAATCCCCACCAATTTTAATGGTTTTTTGTGGCAACTGCTTTGAGCCAAATAGCTTGAGGAATGCAGGCTTTGGCGCCTTATTTTCTTCTCCTTTGACAGTATTTCCACATGTGTGTTCTTTTCTCTTTTTTTGGCC